GTTGATCTCACCAAGTTGAACGAGTCGGTGTGCCGTGAGAAGTTTATCCTGCCATCAGTGGAGGAAACACTGGGCATGTTGGCTGGAGCAAAAATTTTCAGCAAGCTGGATGCAAATATGGGGTTTTGGCAAATTCCCCTGTCTGAAGATTCAGAAAAACTAACGACATTCATCACACCCTTTGGGCTTTACTTCTTCAAGCGACTACCATTTGGCATAGCATCTGCTCCTGAACACTTTCAGAACAGAATGGTGACGGAGGTTACAGAGGGCCTCGAGGGAGTAGTGTGCCATATTGATGATGTGCTGGTGTGGGGACGTACTCAAGAGGAGCACGACGCTCGCCTACACGTGGTGCTGGAGAAGATCCAAAAAGCAGGTATCACACTAAATATGGCAAAGTGTGACTTGTCAAAGCCTGAGGTGAACTTCTTGGGTCATGTGATCTCCGCCAGCGGCATCAGCCCCGACCCAGGAAAGACTGAGGCTGTGAAAAAGATGAAAGAGCCGTCAATGGTGAGTGAATTAAGATCCTTTCTTGGAATGGTAAACCAGCTGGGCAAGTTTATCCCACAGCTGGCTGAGAGAGACAAACCCCTGCGAGATCTCTTATCGAAAAAGAACTGCTGGACATGGGGTGTCGATCAGATTAAAGCCTTTCAAGATCTAAAAGATGTGCTGACATCACCACCGGTACTAGCCATGTATGATCCCAGCAGAGGATGCAAGGTCTCAGCTGATGCATCATCATACGGGCTAGGAGGAGTACTTCTACAAAAATGGGACGAGGAGTGGAGACCTATAGCCTACGTGTCGCGGTCTCTCACACCAACCAAGCAGAGATACGCACAAGTGGAAAAAGAGGCATTGGGACTGACCTGGGCCTGTGAGAGGTTCCGCAACTTCCCGATAGGACAACATTTCCATCTGGAAACGGATCACAAACCTCTCGTGAGTCTCCTGGGGTCTCAAGCATTGGATGCTCTATCTCCTCGAATCCAACATTTCAGAATGCGTTTGATGCGCTATTCCTACTCCATATTTCATGTGGCCGGTAAAAGTCTGTGGACTGCAGATATGCTGTCACGAGCGCCAATACAGAGGAGTGAAGCACCGGCTGACAAAGAGCTGTTGGAAGACACTAACATCTACATAGACATGATAATGGAAAACCTACCTGCGAGCACTACCTATCTGGAGGAGCTGAGGGACCAGCTGCAGAGGGACAGTGTGTGTGCACGTGTAATGCAGCTGTGTGCTGAAGGATGGTCAGCTTACAACACAAAAGAACATTCACTCAGGTCATACTGGACCGAACGAGCTTTCCTTACAGTCCAAGATGGTCTGCTACTAAAGGGACAAAGACTCGTTATACCCTCAACAATGAGAAATTATGTTCTCAACAAGCTGCATGAAGGACACCAAGGCGTGGTCAAGTGTAGAGAGCGGGCACGGCAATCAGTATGGTGGCCTGGACTCAGCCAGCAGCTTAATGAGTTGGTTCTCAACTGCAGAGCATGCTGCCAAGAGAGACAGAACTACAAGGAGCCGCTGATGCCGACACCGTATCCAGGGAGACCATGGCAAAAGTGTGGAGCGGACTTGTTCATGCTAGGAAGCAAGACTTACCTTCTAGTGTTGGACTACTCATCCAGGTATGTGGAAATTGCGTTGCTGACCCCCACAAGGGCTAACGATGTGTTAATCCACCTGAAATCTATTTTTGCACGTCATGGGATTTGTGAGACCCTACTGACTGATAACGGGCCACACTTCTCTGGAGCAGCCTTTGCACAGTTTGCAGAGTCTTATGGGTTCCAGCATGTGTCTAGCAGCCCAAAATACCCTCAGGGTAACGCAGAAGCTGAGCGTGCAGTGCAGACGGTGAAGGGGTTCTTGAAGAAGTCAGATGATCCCTACCTCGCCCTGCTTGCTTATAGGGCCACCCCACTTCAAAATGGGTACAGCCCAGCTCAACTTTTAATGGGAAGGAGGCTTCGTACTACTGTGCCTATTCTTCCTGCACTGCTAAATCCAGCTCTTCCTGATGGAGAGGTTGTGATGCAGAAAGAAAGGGAGAAGAGGATGAAAGATGCTCAACGCTACAATCTTTGGCACAGGACACAGAGTCTCAGTGGACTAACATCTGGACAGGACGTGTGGATCACAGACCAAAAAGCAGCTGGAGCTGTCATCGGAAGTCACACCACACCCCGTTCATATCTGGTGGAGGGATCTCATGGGATCATCAGGCGGAACCGTCGCCATCTCATCCCTATGCAACACTCACCAGAGCAGAGTCAGGAGCCCGGATTTGCAACAGAACAACCAGAATCAGCACCAACACAGCTGAATGATCCGGGACCATCATCTACGCCTACTCTCAGAACTAAGTCTGGGAGAACAGTGGTTAAGCCAACCCAATTAGATTTGTAATTGTGATAATCATTTACGTTACCTTAAAAAAAAAATCAAAAAAAAAAAAAAAAAAAGAAACAGAGAGCTGTAAGAGTAAGAAAAGTGTTACTGTAACTGAACATGTATGCTTTTGCGCTGTTTGAATGTAACTGTTCTAGTCTCAGGGTTCAGAGTTAATACAGACAGTTAAATATTGTTTGTAATGTTTTGGAACACTTTATCAGCTAAGGTTAAAATACAGAGTGTCTGTTGGGGTGTGTGGATGATTTAGGATTTAGATAGGAGCAGACCTTCCAGCCACAGGGGCAGAATAATCCCCTAAGGTACTGTTGGATCAGTGATAGTCTACCCACTGATTCTAGAAAGGGGAGATGTGGTGTAACTGTTATACTAGATGTGATGTAACCGTTATAGGGGAAATGACGTGTGCAGGAAGTGAGGGCAGTTGTGTTTTGGACACGAGACAATAAAGACACGCTTAAAACTACAGAGGACTCACGCGTGTATTAAATAACACGACAGCTGCCATCTATTAAAGATGAGTAATATAAAGTTCTATCTTTACGGAGAGCTTTTTTATAAGTTAGCAGACTATCTTTCCAAGTTAAATAAAATTCTTCAACATTAGTAGAGCACCATTTTCTCTCCTGGTTTCTAGATGCCTGCTTTAAAGTACGTAACTCAGAATTGAATGGTTAAAAACAAGAACACGTTTTATTTATTTTGTAGCTGTAGAAGGGGGTCAGAATCCAACTGAGGTGACGGGTCTTCACAGGCAGGTGGGGTGAGAGCCATCTGTTAGAGTTGGAAGAGCAGTTAAGGTGGGGGCCACCAGTTGGAGCTGTGCAGGATGACCTCACCATACTGAATGAATCACCGCTGCAAAGCCAAGCTGAGCAGAGCATTGATTGAGGAGAAGTTCAAGAACGGGGTCCAGAGTCACAAGTGCGGGTCATACACTGGTAGTCATAGATCCAGAGAGCAAGTTCAATGGGCAATCCGTGAATCAAAATCAATAAGGCAGAAAACGTTGTACCAGGGTCAGATGAGCAGAGCAGAGACAGACGAGTGGCAGGCAGAGCGATAAATCCAAGGGACAGGCGTGAGGTCAAAATCCGAATAGCAAGGCGTGATTGTCAGGCATGAACTTGGAAATAAGATGGCTGGATATCAGGGACCGTGAGCGGTATAATAATCTGGCCGGGAAGGCAATTGAGCGTGGAATTTAAAATACAGCAGGTAACAGGTGAATAACATGACCGCTGATGAGGTGAATATGCAGAGTGGTCATGGTTGGGTGACAAGAGCAGAAAATATGACATGAGAGATATAATTTCTACTATCAGCTCTCTTTAAAACTATGGCATCAGCATTTTGGATCAGCTGAACACTTTTTAATGACGTTTGTGGGCACCCAGATAGTTAACAATTGCAATAGTCCAGACTAGACATGAGAAAATATATGAACTAGTTTTCCTTAATCATTTTTGGACAAGATGTTTCTAATCTTAGTGATATTACACAGATGGAGGAAAACTGTTTTGGTAACATTTTTAATGTGTGGGTTAAAAGACATTCTGATCAAAATATAACACCATGGTTTTTAACTTTAGAATTGGAGGCCAACTTAATGTCATCCAGAGAAAGTGAAAGACTGCAAAATTTATTCCTAAGACTAGAAGTAAATTGATGTCAGAGACTGCAGTTCCACTACCCATACAGAGCCAGCTTTCTTGATGAGCTTATCGAGTCTGTTGGCATCAGCTTTCTTCACCCTGCTGCCCCAGCACACCACATTATAGAAGAAGACACTGCAGCTGCAGCATGGTTCTGCAGAGGTTAGGCGTAAACTCAGGCAAGACCTGAGTCTCCTCCAAAGAAAAAGGCAACTCTACCCTTTCTTGTAGAGGGCACTGGTGTTAGCAGTCCATTTCAGTTCAGTCTAAGTGGACCCCCAGGTACTTGTAGCAGTCCACATTGTCCACCTTAGTACCCTTGATGTTGATAGGTTTGGCAGGGGGGAGGTGATCTTCTTTCCTGTAGTCCACCTGCAGCCCTTTAGTTTTTCCAATGTTGAGTTACAGGTGGTTCTGTCCACACCACTCCACAAAGCTGTCCACCACACTTCTGTATTGAGCTTCCTGGTCACCAGTGATGCAGCCCACAATGGCAGAGTCATCCGAGAACTTCTGCAGATGGCAGGATTGTGAGTTGTACCTGAAGACTGAAGCGTAGAGAGTGAACGGAAACGGCAAGAGGACCGTCCCCTGAGGAGCCCCTGTGCTGCTCAGTATGGTGTCTCAGGTGGACACCACCTGCAGCCTCACATACTGTGGTCGACCTGTGAGGTAGTCTCTAATCCAGGTGACCTGCGAGTCATTCACCTGCATGTCCAGGAGCTTACTGCAGAGTAGAGCATGTCTTATTATGATGTTAAAAGCACTGGAAAAGTTGAAGAACATGACTCTTACAGTGCTGACTGCCCTGTGCTGTGTTGTGATTCTTGTATGTATGATCATGCCTGGATTTAATCGAGTTGAGCTGTAAATAACCACCCAGTCTTTTTTCTTCTTCGTTGGTAGTGTGGGATGGTCCTATCCCAGGACCTCGTTGTGAGGTCTTCATCAACCACATCCCACATGATACCTATGAGGATGTGCTGATCCCTCTACTCAACTCCGTGGGGCCATTGTGGGAGTTTCGTCTTATGATGAACTTCAGCGGCCAGAATTGGGACTTTGCCTATGCCAGATGTGGCACTGCGGCCCTAGCCACTGAGGCCATTCATCTGTTACATGGCTACATGCTGGAGCCTGGCTGCCATCTCAACGTCTGCCACAGCACTGAGAAAAGGCACTTCTCATTGCCATTTATAATGTTTCATTTTTAAGAATATCTGTAGGGCTGCAAAAACAAATCTATAAAATTGATCAAAATCGATTAATAAAAGTCTTGGCAACGATTTTCATTATAGATTCGTTGTGTCGTACGATTTAGCGTCTTTCACGGCGCTGCAGAGCCATTGTGTTCACCTGCATTGTCATTGCTGGCTGACTGAATAATGTTTGATAAAAACACACAAACTCTGCAGCGCGAGTTGAACAGAGCGAGGGGGGAGGTGGAAGCAGAGCAGAGGAGGTGTTTTCAAAGAAAATTAAATACATTTTACAAATGACCGACGCAGAGAAAACTGTTCGACCAATGTCCTCCAACGTGTGGGAGCACTTCACAAAGATAAAAACTGCGCAACATGTAGCTGTAGTGAACTCGGCCTCCGGTCAAAACCTGCCTCTGAGGACCTTCATGGGACAGGAACTGTTATTTCATTGATTTGAATCCAAAAATACAAATTAGCTCATCCAGAGACTTTCTAATTGTATCCTGAACTAATCAATTGAAAGAACACTCTTTTTTTATATTATCATTACTATTTTTACAAATGTCTTGATAATCAAAAGTGTGTTTAGTTCAAATCATTTTAAATGTTGAAATGAACCACTCATTTTAAATCAACTGTGAAACAGTATTAATGATTTTTTAAATCCTCATTCAAAGTAGAAATCAAGTTAATGTCTGTTACAAAGTAATTATGCATTTTGATCTTCTGTCTGAAATGAGAAGTAGTGATGTCGGTCAAAAGTCAGAAAGAAGTTATTAGAACGAAGTGGATTGTTTTAAACCTAGCAGACGGTAAATAAGAAGCTACTGGCACCTGTGGGTCTGTAATTTTTCCAAAACATTCTCTGTCTGTTCCTAAACATTTCTCTGTCTGTTCTTAAACATCTCCGCTGTTTTTCTGACTTGTAGTAACCTCTGACGTCACTAAAACCACACCCCTGTTGGTTCTTTCAACCAATCAGGACTTCCCAAAAGGGACCGGAAGCAGAACTCTTTAAAAGTCGACACTTCCTAGTTCCAGTTAGTTCTGGGAGCACAGTTGAACCGAAGTTCTGGAGAGAACAGAAGTTCCATGGAGAAGGAAGACAGGGTGACTTTGCAAGGGTGAAGTCCACGGTGGTCATTTTCTGAAAGATGACACCTGTCTGGAGTGTTGATTCCGGTCATTACGCCAAAGACCTATTCAACATCTCAGGAGTTCAGCACGTTTGCTGAAATTCCACTTAACTTAATCCTATCTTTCGGGGAAGTTTATTTTGGAAGCTGGGCCAGTCAGCCTCGTCATCCCAAGTTGATGAGAAGCGGATAAATCCCTGGAGATAAAACGACTCAGCCTTTCTGGACGCCAGGAGAAGACCTCTCTGAAACCCCACCAAGGTAAAGAGTCAACGCTCGGGTACCATCTAGCCGAAATCACTGGGAAACGTGCTATCTGGTTTCAAACAAGATAACTCCCCATCTTTTCTTTATTATCTTAGTTAACCCTAAGTATCCACTTTCCCTTCTTAAACTTTACTCCATCTCTATATTTCTCTGCCAGTAAAAGATAAGCTAAAAGTCTGCAGATATTAATTTAAGATCTAAGGAAATGTCTGTTGTTTTTATTAAGTAAAACGTGCCAAGTTTTATTAATCAGAGCCGATCAGAATAATCAAGTGTACAATGTTTTGATGTTAAATTTTGATTCTGTTAATAAATGACCACATTCATTTTGATGGGTCAAAGAAAATTAACGTCTCATGTCACTGATTAGACCATCTCCAATACAGTATCTCTGTCACATATCTGTCAAGTAGCTCGAAAAAGAGAGAACCCGTTATTAAATATTGATTGTAGTGGAGCTCCTAAGCTAACACTGAAGCTAACCTACCCTACATCACTACACAGCTTTGAAAAGTGATGACATGACACGGGAGAACCACGCTGATGAAATGTAAACATGTTGGAGTCAAGGGAGCTCAGCAGCAGATACAACATGTCTTACTCCCAACTCGTGTGTTGGCAGGTGAGTCTCTAGCATATTCTACGTTTGTTCTGTTTCCAAGTGAGAAAAAGTAACGTCAGTCTCTCTGGAGCTGAAGCCGCTGCTTGTTTGCTGATTAATGACCAGTGTTTCCCCTAGTTAGCTTGCCATGGCGGGGTGCTCATCTCATCCATGATTTTTGCTGATGGGGGGGGATGGAGACATGTCTGAGTGCAGCTTGTACTAACAGTTTTTGAGCGGGGGCGGGGGGCGTTCAACATGAGGGAAGAGGCAATGTGAGTGCTGCCTTGGGCTATTTAGCTAGAGAGCCTGTATTTTGTGCCGCTAGCTTAGTGATATGTCATTGCCGGGCGGGGTGCTCAGTTTTGTTGGCGGGGTGAGGCACCCGCCTGTATAATGGTAGGAGAAACACTGATGACAGTGATGGAGTACGTATTTGTTACTTTTTAGTTAATTTAATTGGTATAAGCAATGTTTAAATGTGATTTATAAATAAATCTAATACAAAAATAATAATTTTAATGATTAAGCTTCAATTTTAATTTGCTGGCAAAGTCTGAAGATTCTGCATATATGGCAGGATGAATTGCATTTAAACATGAATTAAAGTAATTTATTACATCTACTCTAATGTGTGTAATTAAGTATTTTATGTGTGTGTGTGTGTGTGTGTGTGTGTGTGTGTTTAATTGCTCTTTGAGCTACTTTTGACTTAACCCAACACTGCAAGTGAAACAAGGCATTTCTTGAGTTTCTGTAAATTATGCTATAATATATATAAACTCTCTCATTCCAGAAAACAACAACAACAAACAATGACAGTCTTCATGATGGACAGACATCATGCACACCACAGCAGCAGCTGTCTTGATTGAAAGCATCCTTAACATGATCGTCACTGACATGAGGCCTTTGTCGATGGTTGAAGACGAAGGCTTCACTACAATGATCCACACTTATAATCTAGGTTACAATAATCCACACTTTTAATCCAGGTTACAATAATCCACACTTTTAATCCAGGTTACAATAATCCACACTTTTAATCCAGGTTACAATAATCCACACTTATAATCTAGGTTACAATAATCCACACTTTTAATCCAGGTTACACTCTTCCCTCAAGGACACATTTTACAAAGTAGCTACATATTGTGCAGGTACAAACCAGATTCCAAAAAAGTTGGGACACTAAACAAATTCTGAATAAAAGCTGAATTTAATGATGTGGAGATGGCAAATGTCAATATTTTATTCGTAATAAAACATAGATGACAGATCACAAGTTTAATCTGAGTAAATGTAACATTTTAAAGGAAAAATATGTTGATTCAAAATTTCACAGTGTCAACAAATCCCAAAAAAGTTGGGACAAGTAGCAATAAGTGGCTGGAAAAAGGAAATTGAGCATATAACGAACAGCTGGAAGACCAATTAACACTAATTAGGTCAATTGACAACATGATTGGGTATAAAAAGAGCTTCTTAGAGTGTCAGTGTCTCTCAGAAGCCAAGATGGTAAGAGGATGACCAATTCCACCATTGTTGTGCAGAAAGATAGTGCAACAATACCAGAATGGTGTTACCCAGCGTAAAATAGCAAAGACTTTTAAGTTATCATCATCAACCGTGCATAACATCATCAAAAGATTCAGAGAATCTGGAACAATCGCTGTGCGTAAGGGCCAAGGCCGTAAAACTCTACTGGATGCTCGTGATCTCTGGGCCCTTAAACGTCACTGCACCTCAAACAGGAATGCCACTGTCAAGGAAATAACAGAATGGGCTCAGGAATACTTCCAGAAAGCATTGTCAGTGAACACAATCCACCGTGCCATCTGCCGTTGCCAGCTGAAACTCTACAGTGCAAAGAGGAAGCCATTTCTAAGCTAGCTCCACAAGCTCAGACGTTTGCACTGGGCCAGGGGTCATTTAAAATGGAGTGTGGTAAAATGGAAGACCGTTCTGTGGTCAGATGAGTCACGATTTGAAGTTCTTTATGGAACACTGGGACGCCATGTCATCCGGACCAGAGAGGACAAGGATGGCATGGGCAGCTTGCATGTCTGGAAAGGCACCATTAATGCAGAGAACTATGTTCAGGTTCTAGAACAACATATGCTCCCATCTAGACGTCATCTCTTTCAGGGAAGAACCTGCATTTTTCAACACGATAATGCCAGACCACATTCTGCAGCAGTCACAACATCATGGCTACGTAGGAGAAGGATCCGGGTACTGAAATGGCCAGCCTGCAGTCCAGATCTTTCACCTATAGAGAACATTTGGCGCGTCATAAAGAGGAAGGTGCGACAAAGAAGGCCCAAGACGATTGAACAGTTAGAGGCCTGTATTAGACATGAATGGGAGAGCATTCCCATTTCTAAACTTGAGAAACTGGTCTCCTCTGTTCCCAGACGTCTGTTGAGTGTTGTAAGAAGAAAGCGGAATGCCACACAGTGGTAAAAATGGACTTGTCCCAACTTTTTTGGGATTTGTTGACGCCATGAAATTTGGAAACAACAGATTTTTCCCTTAAAATGATACATTCTCTCAGTTTAAACTTTTGATCTGTGATTTGTGTTCTATTCTGAATAAAATATTAGATGTTGGCACCTCCACATCATTGCATTCAGTTTTTATTCACAATTTGTTTAGTGTCC